ATGCCGGAATACAAATTCCTTAACTGATTGTTACCTATTAAAGGCAATCAGAAAGATCATTCGAGAGAGGGAGAGAAGAAGACAAGTCCAGGAATTCTCTGGTGTCTGAGGTGTGTGAAATGAGACAAATGAAGCTCCTATTTATAGCATTTTTCGCTGCCTGGAACTTTGGGACGGCCGTCTGGGTTGGGATGGCCGTCCCAAACGCGTTTTTCACGTTGTGCCAATCTGGGACGGCCAGTCTAGGTTGGGACGGCCGTCCCAAATGCAAATTAACGAAGGCTGAGACCCCCTGGGGTTTGGGACGGCCGTCCCAAGTTTGGGACGCGCGTCCCACTTGTAAAATGGCAGTTGGGACGGCCGTCCCAACTCTGGGACGGTGGTCTCGGCCTGTTTTGTCCAGTCTTCGCGTTCTGGGACCCCAGGAAGCTTTCCTTTCCTTTTTCGGACATAGATTGATGCCGATGTGTGTCCGTTGAAGCTTTATCTTCATATAGGAAGTCTTCTTGTGTAGGAAGTCTTCTTGTGTCCGTTGAAGCTTTATCTTCATATAGGAAGCTTTGTCTTTGTGTAGGAAGTCTCTTTTGGCCTTTATTGTGTGAATGAGTGAACTCCGTCTTTTGTTGTGGGAGGTCCTTCTCGTTTTGGGAAGCCGGATGAACTCCATCTTTATATTTATTTAAATATATATCCGTGTAAATATATATTTATTTATATATATTTTCCGGAAAGTGTTTTTATTTTCTTTCAAACAAAAATTTACGTAAGTTAGAGAATTGTCACCGACAGGATTCAAACTCAGCATTTTAGAGTTGAAAGTTGATACTCCAACCACTAAACTACTGTAATTTTCTGATAATAACTTACAAATTAATTATATTTATATACAAATAAATATATATCCGTGTAAATATATATTTATTTATATATTTTTTTCGGAAAGTGTTTTTATTTTTTTTCAGCCAAAAATTTACTTAAGTTAGAGAATTGTCACTAACGGGATTTGAACTCAGTATTTTAGAGTTGAAAATTGATACTCCAACCACTAAACTACTATAATTTTTTTATAATAATTTACAAATAAATTATATTTATATACATATAAATATATATTCGTGTAAATATATAAATATAGAATATATAAATACAAATATATTTATATATTTTGATATATTTATATATATTTATATAGTTATATAGTTATATATTTATATGTTGGATGTGAAGGCGCGTTCGAGGGTGAAAGTGAGATTGACTCTCGCTTGAGTGAAAATACGTTAAAACTCACGGAAATTCACTCGTTCAAGCCTTGCTTTAGCGAAAATTGGTACTTTTCGCTTGAGCGAATGATGCGTTTCTCAAATTTATTTTATATCATTAATAAATTATAAATATTATATTCTATCATTAAATTACAAACCCATATAAAGAGACTCGCTCACAAATTTGGCATCAAATTTTGAAAACTCACTCGACATACTTTCACCTTCGAGCGTGCCCTCACATCCAACATATAAATATATAATTATATAAATATATCAAAATATATAAATATATTTGTATTTGTATATTTATATATTTACACAGATATATATTTATTTGTATATAAATATAATATATTTGTAAGTTATTATAAAAAAATTTGAGTAGTTTAGTGGTTGGAGTATCAACCTCCAACATTAAGGTACTGGGTTCGAATCTGTCAATAACAAAAAATTAATTTGGTAATGCTCTAAACTTCAAAAAAAGATGATAAATAATAAAAATATAATATAAAAGAGAGGGGGATTTCTAGATAAATAGAGAGAGGGTTGGAAATAAATAAAAAATTTCGATTTGAAAGTCGGGACTTTCAACGTCGGTTCTATTTAATCGACGTGGAAAGTTAACATCGGACTTTCTACGTCGGTTAAATAGAACCGACGTTGAAAGTCCTGACTTTCTTCCTCATCTTCAACAACACACAAAATTGAAGAAAAAAAATTAGTAAAAAAAGAGATTATCAAAAATAAAAATAAATAATATTTAAATTAAATGAATTACCTTCATAAAATCCATGTTTCTAATTTGAAGTACAAATTATTGCTTCTACATTCTCGGACAAAAAACGATTTACGTACTTATTAAGAATCCTAGAACCAATACTGAATACTGATTCGAAGCAAGCTGTAGTAATAGGTATACTTAACAAATCCCTAGCCAATAATGAAAGATCAGAAAAACGTTGGCTATTATTCTTCCACCATTGTAGAACATCCATATGTTACGTAAAATCAAAATCCAATGTTGGCTCATCCAAATATACATCAAGTTGGTTTCTTCCAATTCTAGATGTAGCTTGAAGCTTGTGCTTTTTTAGTTCCTAATATGATAAATAAATAAAGAAGTTAAAAATATTAATTGAAAATTCATAAAAAATAATTGACTTAGAATAATTAACTTACATCAAAGAGACTTGGTTTTGAGGATGAAATATCAACTTGTTTGCGTTTCGAACATTTGAAGTTGTACTTTTGCTACAATATTGAGAGAAAAGTATGTACAATTTTTTCTTTATTTTCTCCAACTTTACTTCACAAGTAAGTGGATCAATTCTTTCATAACAGAATCTTAATGTTTCCAACTTCATCCTTGGGTCTAAAATTGCACCAAATGCAAGTACAATACTATATTCATCCCAATATTTATCAAATTTCATCCCCATTTTTTCAGCCATGTCCCTTACAACTTCATCTTCATCTTTTGCACTTTCCATTAGAAGGTACTGAATTTTCCAAACTTGTAAAAAATACATATTGGAAGTAGGATAACTTGTAGCTGAAATTAAAGTAGTTATATCATAAAATGGCAACAAGAAAACACTAATCTTTTTTGCTCTTTTCCATTCTTCTTCAGAAGGACAATATTTATAATTTTCATCAATTAGTTGTAAGCTTCCAAAAACACGTTGGTATTTAAGAGCACTTTGAAGCATTAGATAAGTTGAATTCCACCTTGTAGGAACATCTAAGCACAACCCACTTGAAATATCAATGTCACCAAAATTTTGAAGGCATTTTTTGAATTTAATCATTCTACTCTCTGAAGCCTTAACATATTTTATGCTCTCCCTGATTTGATCCAATGCATTACCAAGTACTTTCAATCCTTCTTGAGCAATCAAATTTAAAATGTGTGCACAACAACGCACGTGAAAGAATTCACCATCACATATCAACCAATGTTGCAAAACAAGTTGACTTTTTAATGTCTTTTGCAAAACATCATTACTAGAAGTATTATCCAAAGTAATAGAAATTTTTTTTTTCTCTATTCCCCAATCATGCAAAAATTCATTTATCTTCTTAGACAACTCAAATCCAGTATGAGGTGGAGGTAAATGGCAAAAGTTAAGAATCTTGCTACTTAACTTCCAATTTAAATCAACATAATGAGTCTGTCAAACTTATATAACCTTCAAGTAGTACAAGATGTCCATAAATCAGAAGTTAAAAAAATCCTACTACAAATGGTAGCCAACTGTTCTTTAACTATATTCTTTTCTTTCATAAATATTCTCAATACATCGCTCTTAGCAGTATTCCTAGAAACTAACATTGCATCAGGATTCAAATAATTTATCCAAGTCCTAAGCTTTGGATACTCAACAAATTTAAAAGGTAAACCATGTCGAATAATTAAATTAGAACACAACTCACGGGACACCATCTGATCTATTTTTTTTTACTTCAACTTCCCTTGCATGTCTAAAATCATTTGACCCACATCTTCAGTTTTGATCTTGTCACATTTTTCAATATGACGCTTTAAGTGAGAAGTTCCATATTTTTTTCCACCAATTATGTATTTTGTGTTACAACCATTACACACAACTCTTTCTTTTCCATCCTTACACACACCAATCCTAGTAAAAAACTTCCAACAATCAGATGTATGAGATTTATCCTTCTTGATGTCTAACTTAACATTTTCAGATTCATTTTTATTTTCAATATGTTGAAACTTAACCTCATTCTCAGTTTCATTTTCATTGACGATATCATCAAGATCACCACAAGTAGGTTTACTAATTGAATCATCCATTTCCTATTTAAAATTAAAAAAAAAAACTTCATAATTTTTTTCTTATTAAGAGATTTCAACAAAAACAAAAATAGAAAAACATAATAAATGAGTCATGAGAGAGAAAAATACTAAGAGAAAAAAATGAAACCTTAAGAAAGTAACAAATATAAAAGAGAGTAAAAAATATGAGATATATATGATTTTTACCTTATGAAGAAGGATGAACAAGAAGGAGATGATGAGTAAGAGGAGAGGAGAGGAGAGGAGAGGAGAGGAGAGGAGAGAGAGAGGGGTTTGTGATTGAGAAAGGAAAGTGTTTCTCGTTTAAGTAATTATAAAACTTTTTGAATTCTCTTAATAGTGAGATACTAAGACTTTATGAATTTCTTTGAGACAATTAGACTTTTAGAATTCTCTTTTCATAAATTTTTATATTATATATTAACTTTTTGACTCTTTGTATTATATCACAATAAAAAAATTATTAGTAAAGCAGGCCGTGGGCTAGCCCGCCCCGCCCCGCCCCGCGGGTTGACCCGACGGGTTGGCGGGTTTGGCAGGGCGGGCCAAAACGGGTTGACGGGCTGGGCCAGCCCGCCAGGCCTGGCCCGTTTTGCCATCCCTATAATCAAGTATATCATTTTCTTTCTTACTCATCATCAAAATGTAAAATTTTACTCATTACTATTATATTATTTGAGTTAACAATCATTATATTTTGTCACTGGTACAAGTGGTACTTACTTCAATATACCGTTCCCGCTTAGGGATCATGGATTCGACTCTCTCTTTAATAATTGGTTTTTCCTTTCCTTTCGCTTGCTCGCTGGCTTTGGAATTCATTATAATATTAAATATGCACTTTTTATCATTGGCACTATGGCACTAGTGGTACTTACGTTTTACACCCTTCTTTAGGGGTCGTGGGTTCGACTCTACTCTTTAATAAATGCTTTTTTCCTCTCCTCTCTCCTCTCCCCCCTCACACCCACATCCTCAAAAGCCTTCAAATATTGGACGTTGCAACTGCACCTCGTAACCCTATAGTTGAAATTTCTTATGCCAATTGGCATGAATAAAGGCAGATTTTATTTATTATGTAAATTGTTTAATCCATTAAGACAATAAAAATAATTTAAATAAAAAAAATAATTATTTTAATAATTAAACTTGGTCAAATTGTGTAATCCATTAAAACAAAAAAAAATAATTTAACTGATGAAAAAAAATCCATACTTTTTTCTTTATCTTTAACTTCGTCTCCTTCCTAAACTTCTTCTTCTTCCTTGACTTCGTCTCCTTCGTAAACTTCTTCTTCCTTAATTTCTTCTCCATACTTCGGTTCTTCTCCTCCATTCCCAACTTCTCCTCCATCCCAAACTTCTCCTCCATCCCAAACTTCTTCTCCATCTCAAACTTCTTTCCCATCCATACTTTCTTCTTTACCCTTAACTTCTTCTTCATCCAAAACTTCTTCTTCTTCTTCCTTAACTTCTTCTCCTTCCTTCACTTCTTCCCCATCCCAAACTACTTCTCCATCCTTAACTTCTTCTTCTCCTTTCCTAACTTGTTCTCCATCCTTAACTTCTTCTCCTTCCCTAACTTGTTCTTCATTCTTAACTTTTTCTCCTTCCCTAACGTCTTCTCCATCCTCCTTAACTTCTTCTGCTTCCTTAACTTCATTCTACAATGTAGACCCCAAATCTTGCCCCGCCTCATAATAAAGACCAGAAGACCTTCTATTCGAAGATGGATGAAGCCTAAGAAGCCACTAGGAGAGACTGTTAGGCCCTATACTAGGATAGGAGGGATTTTTAGAACAAAAATAAGGATTTTCGCCTTTTTGGGTCGAGACCGCCGTATCGGATTCGAGACCGCCGTCTCGCCTTGCACAAGTGGTGAGACCGCCGTCTCGCCACCTACGAAGGGCACGAATTCCTATAAATAGGGGCTCCATTCCCCTCATTTCCCACACTTCTTCCATTCTCTCTCTAGACATTTCACCAAATTCTCTTTCTAGAACCCCTCCGAAGCATTTCCGGAGTTTCTGAGAGTTTTCTAGAGTGTTTTAGAGCGTTTTTGAGAGATTCCGGCGCTGTAAAGAGTGAAGGGCTGCCAAAAAGCACCCTATTTTTGCAAAGAATTAATAGAAAGCCCGCTTCGGAGGTTCCTACTCTCTCTCTCTACTTTACTGCTTTAATTTTAATTATGCAATAGAAACTAGGGCCATGTAGTCATAATTTTAAATTCTGCAAAATAAAAGGGTAAAAGCTTATTTTTCACCAGTTTATTTACTTATTCAAAGTAGCTAGCCCATCATAGGGAACCCGAAAGGGGCATCGTAAGGGAACTAACACTTCCCTTACACGTAACTAACTCCCTTACCCAACTCTGGTTGTAATGACCAAAGTTGGTTTTTCGAAATCCAATGCCTTTTTTAACTCCTTTTCCGTTGTTTCCGGTTATCGGACAATCCAAGAACGCCTTTCAAAAAACTTCGCCCCTAGGTTCAGCCCGGTTATCGGACAACCTAAAGGCGTTGTAACCACCAATAAAAACGCGAAAAAATGGAAAGTCGGAACCATCGCGTCGCTCCGACCGCCCTCGTTTTGACGGCGGCGACATACATCCCAAGTTTCTTCTCCATCCTTAACTCTATAACCTCCTATCCTATCCCATCTCCTCCGAAAGTTCTTCTCCTTCCTTAAATTCTTCTTCCATACTTAGTAGATTCTTCTCCATCCCAAACTTCCTCCCTATCCATACTTTTTTCTTTATCCTTCACTTCGTCTCCGTCTTTGTGGCGGTTGATCTTCTGGGGAAAATTGTGTGTTCGTGTTCTTCCGGGATACTCCTTCTGACGGTAGCCGATCCCTTTGGTGGACACGTGGTAAAACCTCAGGATACTCCTTCTGACGGTAGCCGAGCCTTCGGTTGATGGGTATGAACCCCCTATCAGACTGGTAGTTGCAGTCCGTTGTGTGGGACTGGATGGGTATGAACCCCCCATCAGGCTGGTACGGTCCGTTGTGTGGGACCGGATGGGTATGAACCCCCCATCAGGGTGGTAGTGCGACTTACTGATCCGGCTCGAGCGCAGATCAGGCACAACGCGTGCGCAGGTTGATAGGTATAAACCCCCTGTCAGGCTGGTACAGTCCGTTGTGCGGGACTGGATGGGTATGAGCCCCCCATCAGGGTGGTAATGGCGGCTTACTGTTCAGGTGGCCCATGTGCCGGCTCTCTGGGTAGTGATTTCTGTGTTGGTAGATTTTCTTGGACTTCTTGGATGATCGTCCGGGCTGTGCCGGGGATTGATGTTTCTTCCAGCTCTGTTGGTTGCTGGGGATTCTTTGTTTTTGTTCTTTTGGTGGTGATCATCTGATCCTTGCTGGTTTGTTCGACTCTTGCTTGGTAGTCGAAATTTTGTTGGTTGAGGTGATGGCTTAATCCTGCCTTTTTCTCGCAGTTTTAACTCTTTTTTCTCGTGATTTTGGATTTTGGCTTTTTCCTTGTGCGTATGCCTTTTCTTTTTTAAGTTTAAGTTTTTTTTTTTTGTTTTTTTTTTTTACGCTGGTTTTTGCGAGAGATGGCAAAAAGATGCATGAAATAAAATTTTATTTATGGGGAAATTTTATTACAACCCTATTTTTGGAGTCACTATCCCTAGGGGCTATCCTCTGGACCCGATCCTTGGGGAGGGAAATGCTGGTACATATGATACCGGAAGTCCTCCTGCTCTCGAACTTCATCCTGGTAGTTTTGCTGGAATGTCGTCCAACCGTGGCGCATGTCCTGTTGGTGCTGGTACATTTCCCCCAGCCTGGTGTCAAAGGTGTCTTGCCTTTGGGATAGCTGCTCTTGCCTCTGGGCTAGTTGCTCCTGCCTCACAGTCATATGGTCGAACTGCTGGCATAGATCGCTCATGTGGCGGTGCATGCCAGCAAAGTCGTCTGCATACCATGGCGGTTGTTGCTGCTGCTGCTGCTGCTGTTGGAAGTCGGGAGATGTAGGTAGATCATGCATTGCATCCTGGAGTTCCAATGCAAAATCTAGTGTGGGGTGGAGGGCCAACTGGGTCCCTCTGTGAATCAGCATTCCCATGCTGACCAAGATCGACCCACCGATGGATTCGGGTCGCAGGTTGGGGGCCAGTTCTTCCCGGCCAGGACACCCCAAACTCTCTGCCAGGGGAGTGATGAGTGGAGCCATGAGGACGACCCCCGTGGATCTGTGCCCGAAGTCCTTGAGGGCTTTCAGGAAGAAGTACCCGGGGTTGCAGCGCCGCTTCTGGCTCATGCAATACAGTACGAAGAGGTCAGGGAGGGATATTTTGCCCTGACTCTCTTTCCTCCCATGTATGGTTCCTGCCAGCAGCTTGTGGCAGATACGGAGTGCTGGGGGAAGCGCAGATCCTCTCATCAGCGTGGGCAGTGTGGTGGCTCCCATGAGCTCATGCCACATCTCGGCGGCGGTAAGGTTGGTGGGCCGTGAGCAGATGGCGTCCCGGTATTCCGGGGTCATGGTGTCCTCGGGCCGGACGAACCCGATGGCTATGTTGAATTCCTTGAGGGTGGAGGTCTGGTATTGCCCACCCATAAAATAGGTCACCATCTTGGTGGGCTGTAGGCCCGGGACCGTGGAGGGGCTCTCAGAGTAGGAGACGGAGGCTAGGAACTCCAGCACCGCCTGCGGGTACACGTGTGTAGGTGGTGGTTGCAGTAGGAAGCCCCACCCGATGCTATCTAGATGGGCCCGGATGTCGTCCTCCCATCCGAATTCAGCTAGGATGTTGAAATCCAGCTTGAGCATTGGGTGCCACTGGTAGGTCCGGATATTTTCAAGACGGGCCTGGTGTTGTGGCGTCATTTGAGACGGGTCCTGTGATGGTGGTGCTGCGGAACTACTGGCACCGGCGGTGCTCCTTCTCTTCCTGGAGGCGCTTCTACCAAACATCTTGACCAGAGGGTGATTGGGAGTGCAGGAGTTAAGAGAAAGGAAGTTCTGGAGGCAAGGGGAGTTGTGAGGAAGCCCCCAAGCGCGCCCCCTATATATAGGGAATTTTTCAAAATCGAGACCGCCGTTTGGGTGGGCGAGACGGCGGTCTCGTGTCTCCTCCAAGTCGAGACGGCAGTCTAGTCCATCGAGACGGCGGTCTCGACATTCGGCTTAAGCGAGACGGCGGTCTCGTCTAGCGAGACGGCGGTCTCGTTTTTGCCTGAGTCGAGACGGCGGTCTCGTTTTTGCCTGAGTCGAGACGGCGGTCTGGTTGGTCCAGACGGCGGTCTCGAGCTACGGAAGAGATTTTCTATTTTTGTATATTTTTATTGCTTTTTTTGTTATTTTTGAAAGAGGTAATAGGACATGGTCTAAAAACTTTTTATAGGAGCAATGTTTTTATGTTTTGATGTCCTATAATGCCTATTTTGATTAAGTTTTCAGAAGGATTTAACCAACGTGTCTTGTTGTGCCGAAAGCCTTTTGATTCGCTGCGTTTACTCTTGGTTGTACCATGCCGGACTTCTTGTGACCGAAGGGTAATTTCTTTCTTTCTCTTCTTTCTTTTTTCTTCTTTTTGCTTTTTTTTTTCTTTGTAGAGCACTTTTGTCATGTAGTGTCCCTTTTTCTTTGCTTTAGGGATTTGAATCCTCTTGTTGACTATACGCCTCCATATTCCCAAATTAATTATTAGAATATTATCGTGAGGGTCAAGAGAAGAGAAGTAAAGAGGTAAAAATCAATGGTTTGTGTTTCAGAGGGTTGATTTTTATTGATAAAAGGATTTTGTAAGAATGGTTGGCTAAGGTTAAGCCTAGGTGTTTAAGCTTTGTCTAAGCAAACATTTTTCCTTTCTTTTTTTGTATTTGCGCTCTTTGGTTTTATTTCCATTGCTTTTTAAATGGCTAGCTGATTTCCCTAGATCGCCCTTTGGGTTTTCGAACTAGGATACTGTGTGTTGGCCCTAACTTTTGTCTAGGTTCCCTCTTTTTGTAAAATTTCGGAGAAATCCTAGCGGACCTTATTTGTAACCCTAAATTTTGCCTAGGCTACCCTTTATTGTTGTTCGGGTATCCTACCGGGTCGACCCTATCTTTTGTGTATCCCCCTTAGTGGGTTTCCTACCGGGTAATTTGCCCTTTTCTTTGGCCTTTGGCTTCTCTGGGCTTTTTTCTTTTTTGTGGATTTATTTTTTGTTCACAGTATTGGCAAAGCGTGACTTTCTTTATGGCTTAGGTGAAGTCTTTATTTTTATGTGTTTCTAATAAGCTAACTTGATAGCGATGGTGGAGGTTGATTATTTGGAAGCGCTTCTTATTCTTCTTCTCTTTTTTATGTTTACTTAGACAGGGTTATTTATGTGGTCCAGTCAGAAGTAGAAAGAAGAGAAGCAGATAGAAAGAATCATTCTTTATTAATTAATGAGGGAATATGTGCCGTAAAATACCCGGGGGTCGGGCTCGCCCCGGGGGATAATCTCTAACAATCATGGGGTTTACATCCCTTAAACAAGGAAAAAGATTTCCTAATGACTAGAGTGGCTCTTGACGCTTGCACCCCTCCATTTCGGAAAACTTGCTTGAGAGTGCGGAGGGGAGACTTCCCTTTTCTCCTTTCTGCTTGGCCCTTAGTAGGGTCATATCCTAGGCCATACTTGCAAGGATTGTCTTTGAATTCTGGGGGTTC